ATACGCCGAACAAGACATAAAAAATTGTGTATTTGATTTAAATTGTTTGTAGTGTTAATAGTTACCTATTATTAACTTATAATAAATAAATAATTATTTTAACTCAATGCGAGCGGTTTTGGTCTTTTCATTTGGGCCCCCTAACAAATTTTGATACAGGGCCCGTCTAAAGCAAGCTACGCCAATGCCCCTATTTTAGAATTTTGGAATAATTCAAAAGCAAAACTAGTAAAATAGTCATTAAATGTATTGAGCGGTTGCAAAAGTGAGTGGCATTCAGGATTATGTTTCATTCGTAAGTACAAAACACCATGCAATGCAAAATAAACGGAGGGGTAAAGAAAAATTTCTAGGTCATTTTCTTGTATTTTTTATGTCATTCGAGAGAGCGGGTTCCAATTTGTACTAAGTACATGTATTTCTATCAAAGATGTTTTATAGGTCCAGATTTATCTATGGTCCAGATACCGTGGTTGCAGTGTTACAACTCTCAAAAAATTTTCCCCCAAAGCTTAAATCAAAAACCCCAAAAACATGACAATTATATGAAAATCCCCCCTAAAATAATATTAAAACTAATGTAAATAATACATTAATAATAATTAATGTTGATAATAACCAATAATATTTATATATAATAGATTAATAATAATTATTAAATAACAAATTAATGATAATTAGTAAATAATAAATATTTTTAAATATTCTTTATATACATAAATTATAGTTTATACTTTATTTAAAACATCCAATATTAGTTCATTTTCCTTACAGAGTTTTTGGAATCATACATAATTGACATTTAAATAACCTTAACATTTTAGCTTGGATGTTCCTCCGATTAAATGTTGAGTGCACGAACCTAATGGACCATGTATATAAGATCAAACGAACTTCTCAAGTGAAGTTCGATCATTATTATATGAATCGCTTCATTTGAAGATATATCAAAATTATTCACCAGGTAGTCCCCTTAACCTACAGGTGACTTTGTACGCTTTAAAAGACACTCAACTGACTAAACTAAGTTGGCTGTGAACCGACTTACCCCTACCACCGCTGACTCGGGGACGGAGTGAGTCGCCATTCTGAGCTCATTATTTTTAGAGTGTAGAGAAAAACTTTCCGTATTAGGGCTAGCAAACTACTGCTATGGGAGGGTGGGTAATGGCTTATATCTTCAAATGAAGCGATTCATATAATAATGATCGAACTTCACTTGAGAAGTTCGTTTGATCTTATATTATATTTCATCGCTTCATTTTTCAGATATAATTATTCACCAGGTAGAATTTTAGAGCAGGAAGTTTTTCGTTGTAATAAGATAATATATATTTCTTAGAATATATTTATTAGTTATGTGGTACATGAAACGTTATGTAATCACGATAATTTGAACAATTAGTTTTTGTATTTATGAATACAGAAAAAATCTTAAACTAGTGATTGGACGTAAAGCAAGCGGATCTTGCAAAGTTCCCCTCATCAACAAGGGTTCTATTGTAAAATCGCGCAAAAGTATTCGATGTAGGAGTCCATCCGGCAGCCTTACGGATGACATCAACACTGAGGCCCGCGCGGCCCGCAGCTGAGGTAGAGGCGTGGCGAGTGCTGTGGGCGCCAAACGTTGACGTATCCACGCCGATTTCCGAGAGCACTTGTTTAATCCATCGACTGATTGATTGCGTCGTGGCTGGTCTATGTGGTGGCTTGTAAGTGAGGAACAGTTTGCCTATGTTTTCCGTTCTTTTACTTTCTGTGACAGAAATATAATCTTTTGGAACGGTAGCTGGGCAAATATTCACATTTTCTAAGAAAAATGGTATCAGGAGTACAGGTTGCTCTCGGCCTGGGGTGGAAGTCTTTATTAGATCAGTAATTATGATCTTAGCGTTATTGTGAGAAAATGATATATTTTCCAACTTAATTAATGATAGCGTTTGTACTCTATGGGCTGTACAGAGGGCTAATAAAATTTTGTAATTTTTTCCAGTTTTAAAGTCGTATTGGGATGCCACCCTGCAACGTGATTTAAAACACTTTGAGGGTCGGTCTGTGTATATTTTGGAATTTTCGGCCTTAATTTATAAGCTCCTTCTAGCAATCGACTTACGTGTTCGTCGGAACCAATATTATTTCCGAGAAGTAATGATAGCGCTGATCTATGCGAATTGAGACTTCCGTAAGAACAACCGGCATTAAACTGGTCAGTCAAGAAGGATAATAAAGGAGATATAGATGGTTGAAATGGATTAATATTTCTGTTGTCACAAAACCACCACCGTGCTTTATAGGTAACGTTATACTGTTTTACCGTGCTATCGGAGAGCGATGCTAGCATGAGGTTGAGGGCCTCTGGTGGGCATCTTCGGGTGAAAGCTTGCCGGAGAGCCTCGCGGCACCCAAGGTAAGGTTCGCGTGTAAAGGGTGGTGTTCCCTGGAATATGATCGTAAAAGATTCTGATATGATGTTAGGGCGCAAGAACAGAATATCAGATGCTAATAACCCTTGTAGTAAGGGGAACCAGGGCTGTGAAGGCCAATAAGGAAAAACAAGGATTCCGTGAGCCCTGTCATCCATTATTTTCCTTAAACAATTTAATATTATGGAAAATGGGGGGAATGCGTAAAAATAACATCCGCTCCAGTTTATAGTAAAAGCATCTACCGCCATTGCATCTGGATCCGGTCTCCAAGAAACAAAGTTTGTGCATTTGGCATTAGTGCGGAAGGCGAATAAGTCGATATTTGGCTGACCAAAATGAGATACAATGGTTTGAAAGCTGGAAGAGGAGAGTTCCCATTCGGTGTCAGGGTTTATAATTCTAGATTCAGCGTCAGCCAAGTTTTCTTTAGTATTGACGTATGACGCGTAGATCCAAATTTTTCTCTTCTCACACCATTGCCAAATTTGCCGAGCGATCCCGTTTAAGTGGGGGGAATTGTACCCCGCCCATGCGATTTACATAACTAATGGCTGTAGTGTTATTTACCCGTAATAGTATCGCGCAATTAGTTTCTTTAGATGCCAAGCTTTTGAGTCCAAGAAAAATTGCCAATAGTTCCAGATAATTTATATGGTATATTGCGTTCGCTAACTGACCACCCTCCGCGAGCGCGTTCTTCATCGCGCACTGCGCCCCAGCCGGTTCGTGAAGCATCTGTGTAGATTTCAATTTTATAGCCGGCGTTTCGCAGTGGATGTAATGTTGTTTTGATGTTATTGGTCCACCAAGTAAGATCTTCAAGGATAATACTAGGTAAATTGATTTTACTCTCATAATTCTGATTTTCAAGTAGCGCGGGATATTTTTGACGTTCCAATAACTTGGTGTATAACCAACCGTATTGGACAGCCGGGCACGCTGCAGTTAGAACACCAATTAATTGAGCCAATTCTCGAATAGTGCATGTGGGTAGACAAATAAACTTCTGAACTAATTGCGCAATACTGTTACGTTTATTATCTGGGAGAGAAATGGTTAGATTCTTAGTGCAAAAGAGAAAACCTAAGAATTTACAACTTTGCTTGGGTTGGAGCGAGCTTTTATCAAAATTTATAACGAAACCTAGACATTGCAATAGTTTCAAGGTTTCATTTACGTTAGATCTGCAATCCTCATAAGTGTTGCCGATGCAGAGAATATCGTCTAGATGAATTACTGAATTAAAGCCCGCGCTTCTCAAGTGAGTTACGATTTCTTTCATAATCTTAGTAAATGCCCTGGGAGCCACTGACAGCCCATAGGGCATTGACGTAAACTCGTAGGTCGTGGTCTGATTGTTTCTCTTAAATTGAAATCTTAGATACTTTCTATGTTCAGCATGAATCGGAATTAGTAAGTAGGCTTCTTTCAGATCAATTGTGGCTAAGTATCCGTCTTGGGGTATTAACTTTGCCGCTGTTCGATAATCTTCCATCTTGAAATGAAACTTTGAAACATATTTATTTCAATTTAATATAAAACGCTTGCCGCCGTTTGTCTTGGAGGCAAGGAATATTTTAGAGACAAACTGGTCTCTACTTGGAGGACATTCTGTTATGGCACCTAAATTAATCAGCTTTTGAATCGCAGTTGACATTTCCTGGTGCTCTAACTCCGAAAGGGTATTGCTAGGAACGTTTGTTTGGCAGACTTCTTTGCAAAAAGGTATGTACGTTTTGTATCCAATCTAAAATTACTGAATTGGATGAAATTCTCGTCCAACAATTAAAAAAGTATTTAATTCTAACTGCATGTACCTGAGTTACTGCGGCGCTGGGGCACGAGACTTGTTCGCTGCTGAAGGCTTCGACGCGGGCTGCTGTTGCGTCGAGCTCGGGTATGAACGGCGGCTCTGCGTCCACGTTTTCTTCCCACCTCGGTTGCAGCGGTTCGTTGAGTACCGAGGTGAGCCGGACCAGTTTCCCGAACTAGAAGAGCGGTTGCTAGTGGAATGAGAGCCGGAAGGTTTCGGATTAATCTTTTTGATTTGCAGACCCTGTAGTTCAATAGCTCTGGCTGCCATGATCTTTTCTGAAAGTTTGTTACCGAACAAAGTTTCGTCTCTTACTGAATCTTGAACTACGTGAAGAAAGTTCTTATCCAGGTTTGGTGTAATTAGCTTTATGCGGCTATTCGTATTTATCGTATGCAAATCCGAAAGAATACGGCAGGCATTGCTAAGATGTTGGATAGCGTTCTTCTTGTCGTCCCCACTTAAGAGAATATTGAGCGCCCTGTTAATGGCCGTTATCCCCGACCCGAGTTGCTGTTGGTGAACTACCAGGATCTTATCTCTGTTTCTTACAGAGTCTATAACTGCTGCGGATATTTCTGCGTTTAGTTTAGGTGCTTGCAGTAACCTACAGTTGGCCGGGATTAGGTACTCCTTCAGAATTTTTTCCTTTTTATCTTTTGGCAAGCCTTTGACAAGTAGAGGAAGCCACAATTTGGCTAAACTCTCGTGAATTCTTGCTCCAAACTCTGGGGTATCGCTGGTGGACTCACCGAGGGCTTCTAAAAGTTCAGGGTCCAATTCTGGTTCAGATGATGCACCGTTCGGGTTTGTTCCATCGAAGTTGCCTCTAAAGCCAGTGGCTCTAATGGTTTCTCCGCCCTGGTCTCTGGTCTAGACTCTGGCTCCAGTGTGGGCTCAGGTTTGTTAACTATAAGGCTTAGTTCAGGGTGGTCAGCATCTTCAACACCTAAAAATAATATTTTTAGGATTAGAAAATTGGATTACTTCAACGAACGAGGCTCACGGCCTGCCCTGATGAAGAATTTTGTTTCAACGAACGAGGCTCACGGCCTGTCCTGATGATGGTAATTTTTTCAACAAACAAGGCTCACGGCCTGTTCTGATGAAAGCTGATAACACGTGTAAAAAACAACACGTGCTAACGAAACAAATGTTACGTAATCTTGACTCGTAGTGAATCGTTATTATACAAAAATAACTATGCTTACCTTCATTATTGGAAGGTTGTGATGATATGACCCGTATTCGGCGATGTCGTGCGACATCGCGTTCACGTAGTTTTCTAATTTTGCGTTCGTAACGCTCGATTTTTTCTTCCGCACTTCGTTTTGGCATTATAAATTTTAATTATTATTTACAAAAAAAAAGGCAAGAATAAAGTGTAAACTTACTGGGAGACGCGTGCTGTCGTCACCGTGCACGAAAAAGGAATGAGCTCAGAATGACGACTCACTCCGTCCCCGAGTCAGCGGTGGTAGGGGTAAGTCGGTTCACAGCCAACTTAGTTTAGTCAGTTGAGTGTCTTTTAAAGCGTGCAAAGTCACCTGTAGGTTAAGGAGACTACCTGGTGAATAATTATATCTGAAAAATGAAGCGATGAAATATAATTTGCAATGTAACAGAAACAGAAACTTTTATATTCAATGTAGATTGTAACAATACTTTTTGGAAGTCACTTTTTTCATTTACCACTGGTTCGCAAAAAAAACCTCTGTCCAGGGAAGAACCAGCAAGAAACCCAACGGGACTATTTTTTTTTTCAATAATAGCTTACAATAATGTTTACAATTAACCACACAAGAAAAATTAGAAATAGCTTGGTAGTGATCCCCCCTTCCCAGGTGTTATTATCATCATAAATATCACCATAAATTCCTTAATATTATAATAACCCTTTTTATACAAACTTAGTTTAATAACATTTTTGAACTTGTGTATGACAAATTTTGTATATTTTCTGGGATTTTGTTGTAAAACTGTATACATCGCCCCAAGAATGAATTACTGACTCGGTGAAGTCGTATAACTGGTACTACTAGCTTGTGTCTGTTCCTAGTATTTACAGAATGAATATCACTTATTATTGCAAAACTACTTATATTTTTGTGTACGTACATTACATTTTATAAATGTATTGAGAAGCCAGAGTTAATATATTAATTTCCTTAAATTTTTGTCTGTGACTCTTTTGAGTTTCAGTGTCAGTTGCGTGTCCCCACAGACTACGTGTCCCCATAGCAAAATACCATACGACATAATGCTATGGAAATAACTAAAGTAAACTATTCTAGCTGTTTCAATGCTGGTAAGAGTCTGCTAGCTAGTTTTGATATATGGGGGAGCCATTGAAGCTTTTCGTCTAGTGTGGTTCCAAGAAAAATTGTGGTATCAACAAGACTCGGTTCCTCCCCATATAAAATTACATTAGTATTAAAATGTTTGACATTAGGAGTTACGAATTTCATAAATTTAGTTTTAAATCCATTTAAATCCAAATTATTAACATTAAATCATTTGACCAACCCAGTTATAGCCTTATTTACTTCGTCGTAATTTAATAACTTATAATATAACGTTTTAATTTAAAAATTAATGAAGTATCATCAGCAAATAATACTATATCATGGTTATACTATTTAAGTTATTACTATGTAAGGTAAGTCATTAATATATACAAAAACAGAAAGGGGCCGAGAATTGAGCCCTGAGGCGCGCCCATTTGTACAATCGACCCAGAAGAACTCATAATATTAATGACAACTTTTTGCGTTCTGTCACTTAAATATGAAATAATTAATTTCAGAGCATCACTTCTTACACCGTAGTGTTGAAGTTTCCTGATTAATGTTTCATGGTGAACACAATCGAAGGCTTTGCATAGGTCACATAAATCGAACCATCATCATACTCTGTAACATATCAATAGATTGTCTATTCCGCAAATTATTTTGCCAATATTATAAGAGGTCCTCGTCGAGCGTCTTTGTAGTTAACATCTGTGACAGTTTGCTCCGCATATAAATAAGTGCATTGTAGTTAAAAGTGAATTACTAGTGTATATTTTGTAATTATATTAAAGTATTTGATCTGGGCTATGTAGTAGTTAAATCAGTTTTTCATTTCGCGTTGTAAAATTTAAGTTTTCAAAAAATTGTCGACCGTTACGTACTGACCTACGACAACCCACAGCGCGCTCGCTGCTGTGTGTCACCGACACCCGTTGCTGGCCGGCTGCCGTTGAGTGCATCAAGCTGTGTAGTGGTCGAGATGAAGTCACGCCAAGTAAACTGCGCAGGATGCCGCGGTGTTATTATGAAAGATAGCGCATTTTTGAGGTGCGCAAAATGTAAGCAATATTTCGATATTATGTGTGAAGTATTTGCAACAATGACATCAGAATTTAAAAAGATGTGGATATGTTTCGAATGCCGTAGCAAAATACCTAAGCTTGATAATTCACATACGTCAGTGCGCCAGCAGTTGAGCCATGATACGACTGCCGTTGATGATTGTTTGGATGTATCGATGCATACCCCTGATAATATCACGTTCCGAAACTGGAAACGTCCTGCGCAATTAGTGGCGAAAAAAGTGACCCTTGTCCCCAAAACATGGCCCCAATAGTACAGGAAATAAAGCAAATGCAGGACGACTTCGAATCGCGCCTTACCATGAAAAATACTCAACGAACAATTTAATTAATTTAAGACTTCGATATTTGAAAAAAATTGCAATTTAACCAATAAGTTTGACAAATTAGAAGAAAGAATCCTAAAAATGGACAAAGATAATAGTGCATCAACGCAGGGATATGCAATGGCGGTACAGCACACATTGAACCTAGATAATGGGAAGACTAAGCCGAAAGTAAAATCTGTCCCTCAGGAGAAAAATAGCGTCAGTTTCAACTTTAGTCTCTGATTCCAACACTTCGATTTTGAGTGTAAGCCGTGAGACAACTGTTGCTCCCCGGGATGGCGTGGAGCAAAAAGACCCGGAAGAATGGATACAGGTGAGACGTAAAACTGGACGCGCATCGCTGCCCGGCGTGCATCGCGGTACTGCAACGCTGGGGGTGACGAAACTGCGTGCATCTGAGAGATGGAGGTACTTGCATCTCTATTATGTTCAAGAGGGTACCACAGTAGAGGAGGTGCGTGCTCATCTCTACTCTATTAGTGGAAATAATGATCGTCGTCGATCGACGTCTGATATGGAACTGCTTTTTGCCAATATTGGTGGAAAAAGTGTTGGAAAGTTTTTATGTTGTGTCGTTTATTTGCCTCCTAAATGTAGTGATAATATATATCTCAACGTATTGACGTGCATTGAAAATGCTATCATTGCATATTACTCTCTTAATGTCCTAATAATAGGAGATTTTAATTTGAATTCTTGTAGTGTTAATGTTAAGGATAATTTTAATTCATTTTGTGACTATTGTGGGCTTCAGCAACATAATGTTATGTATTACAAATGTGATGGCATGTTAGATCTCGTGTTGAACAATTTTAACCCGGAGCTGGTCTTAGTGTCCGAGGGTTCTGAACCCTTAATACCAATTGATAAGTATCACCCCCCGCTGGAGGTGACGCTTAGGTTTCAGTACGACGCGCAGGTCCAGTCACCATCCTCTCCACCACCGGCTCAGCGCCCGGGAGCTGCTCTAAACTGGAATTGGCGTAAAGCAGACTTTCTGGGCCTATACATGGCATTAAAAAGTATAGATTGGTCGGTCATGTTTGTAATTGCAGACGTTGACGACGCAGTTGTGTTATTCCAACTAAATCCCCTTACATGCCGAATTATAACATTTATAATTGACTTTATATTTACTGACATAAGAACATTAATATTTGACATTGAGCTATAATAATACTTATACATCTTATTGGCAATTTATTTTTCTGACTCTGTTGCATAATTAATTAATCATCAAATCAACTGAGTAATGTTAAAAAAAATTGTGTTGTTAAAAAAATCGATAAGTATTGTTGTTTAAGTTACGGGTACTTGACTTAATTGACTAATATTTGCACACTACTGAGGTAGAATATGTAGAACAAATTATACTCGAACACCATTGTACAACCATATTCTTGCAAATAAAGATTATTATTTATTTATTTATTATTTATAAGTACGTATATCCAAAATGGTTTAATGCTGATATTATATGTAATATACGTAAAAAATATTATCATTTGAAACGGTATAAGGCTGTAGGTAAAGAGTTCAACAAGGAATTATTTAATTATGTACTATAGACGCCATGTTAAAAACTTGATTGACAATGCATATAAGCAGCACTTACATCTGACTCAACAAGATATAATTGACGATCCGGCCAAATTCTGGGAGTACGTTAAGGATAGGAAGAATCACAGGCAGCGTATGAACGTTTATTCTTCCAGTGGTGTCGAAGTTGTTGGGAAATCTGCGGCCGACGCTTTAGAGAAATATTTTTGTTCAGTATATCAGAACGAAGTTACTGAATTTGACCATGTTGATGCGGTACGTGCCGCAGATAGTCAATATGACTCCACCTGTATCACCATAAATACTGTTGACAATACCAAGCTGTAGTAAGCAGTAAGGCGGCTAAAACTGAGGTCGAACATGTGGCCCTGATGGTATCCCTGATTTTTAGCAAAGGACTGCATATCCGCTTTTGAGAGTCCGCTCCTGTACCTCTTTAACTTGTCACTGACTCACTCTAAGTATCCAGAAATTTGGAAAGTTTCTAGGGTTACTCCGGTTCCAAAAACTGATGGTGAAAATGACGTTTCGTCTTTTAGACCGATCGCAGTCTTGTCAGTCTTTGCAAAATTATTTGAAATTGTCTTATGTCAGCAAATTAATAAGCAAACTCAGAATTTATTGCATGATAGTCAACACGGTTTTCGAACTGCCCGTTCTACAACTACCAATCTTGTGTCTCATCTTGACTATACATATGCTGAATTGGATGCTGGTAGGCAGGTGGATGCTGCGTACTTCGATTTTAAGAAAGCATTTGACCTGGTCGACCACGATATCTTGTTGCGTAGATTGGCGGTGATAGGCTTTGCCCCTGCACTCGTCAAGTTTTTTTAAAATTACTTACGCGATCGACGTCAGTTTGTTAAAGTGGGTGCATTTGAGTCTAGTGACTATTACACAAGATCTGGAGTGAGCCAAGGGAAGTACGTTGGGGCCTTTGCTCTTTCTTATTTTCATTAATGACTTACTGAATATAGCGTGACTGCCTCCAAATGTCTGTTGTTCGCGGATGATCTCAAGTTAAGCCTAGGTGTAGATGACCCGTCTGACTGCGAGGCATTGCAAAGGGACAT